TATTATTATTATTATTATTATTATTACTCCAGATGCAAATTACTCTGGAATAATAAGATAGCTGGGTGGGACACACAACACCCAAACTTGAGATATAACTGTAGACAGACTATTGCTGCTCATCCGTGCCACAGATTCTGTTGTCACGACAGACCATGCTCCAAGCACTTTGCCCAGACCAACTGAGCTCTTGCAGTGTGCAGTTCTCCTCCCTTGCCTCTCCTTGTGCAAACTCTGAGAGTCAGATTCGGTGAACTAAAATGTAGGCAGCTAATTATATCGGCTTTCATTAATGAGGGAGGAGAAGTACTTCCCAAGAGCAATCCAACCACTTGGCCGAACAGCCTGGAGTAGATGCCAAAGTTTTAGATAGCTAAATCCCCTCGTCCTGCCACCTCTGAAGCAATCTCATCAACCAGTTATCTGCCTATCGCTCTCTCTGCTGGTGTTTAGTGTCTTGTAACCACCATGAGGTCTGCGATGTCTTCTCCTGTGCTCTCCCCATCCATACCAGAACACAAATCCTTACCATACTTGCTGGCTGATGTTCGGGAGACCGTGGAGTTGTTGACTGCATTGTAGGCAGTGACTTGCTTGGAGACTAAAGCTACCACAGATCCATCTGGCACCTGTAGAGAAAAAGGGACTTTGTCGATAAACTTCCGAAAATTCACTGAGGAGCATGCCAAGGACAGAAGAAATTCAAGAAGCAGAAACTGAGTCATAAACCAGTGTCACTGAAGGCAGGACAGTAGTTTTAGTCCAATGCTTTCTTCAGGGGGCTATTAACAAAAAAAAGGGATAAAATCTCCTGTTAGACAGCAAGAAATCTGCACTTGGGCAACAGAACAACTGATGACGACGCAGACTCTGCTCTATTCAGGTCCTGACTCAAAGTCCAGCAATGACAATATGAGTCTTTACATTAACCTCAGTAAAACTAACAGTAGGTTCTTCATAAGAAGCCTGAAACGAGCCAGACTTTCCATTTCTACAGTCAGGCCTTGCATGTGGGTCCTGCATCAGAAATAATAACAAGCCGGTGGCTCAGAGCAGCCATATCAGGACTATCTGTGATAAATAAGACATCATAAAAAGGAGATGGGTGGAAGGAACCCTGCTAACAACGTCTAACTCTTGTCTGTGTAATAATAATAATTAGCACTTGCATAGACTGTTTCATCTTCAAAGCATGGCAGAGGCTAATTAAATAGCCCCTCAGCAATCATGAAAGGCATTTATTGGCTCTTTGTAGTTTTAGACCCACACTACAGATGGGGAAACTGAGGCAATAGGAATATCAGTGTCTGTCCCAGCACGCTCCTTGTCTGCCCTCAGGATAACCAAGGTAAATGAGGTACAGCTCAAAACCTTCTCAGCTGAGACCTGTTCTGTCCCAGATCATGCATATAGCTGGGAGCTCTCTGCCTGAAGCAAACAAGTGGAAAAAGCACAGAAGGGAAAGGAAGTTATGCCTGTTTTGTTGGTGAAATAAAATAGAAAACATTCCCACTCCCACTGAACAAAAAAATTGTTCTAGAGTAGGTCAGCAATGCTTCTTCAGTCAATCTGATGTGAAAAGTTTTATTTCCTTTTCAAATTACTGCTTGCTGCCTCCTCAGGTCAGCTCTTAAATAAAAAAATAATAGTAATCTTGTTATGAAACATAGATTGCTGAAGTGTGATTGACAAAACTGTCAGCATCGGATTAAACTTAATGAGGTGCTTTTTATTTTTTTGGCAAAGAGGGATAGTAGTAGGGGGAGTTTTAGACTAAAACTCCATTTTTTGTGAAATCTATTACTTGTGCAAGATATTTGTTGACAACTTCAGCCCTCTCTTACATATCTCAAGGTCATGTAGAGAGGGATCTCAACAGGATGGATGTACTCAACACAGGGGCTCTATCTGGTTGTTGCCCACTCAACTGTTATTTGTCTCTGCAACTTAGAGAATAGCTTTTTCCCCTTCTTCTTTTAGCTTTCATAGCTGATCTGCCATCCACCCATCCTCCCATACAGCTACCTGATAATGTGCCAGCGTGTTGAGCCTCTTCCAGTCATTCTCAATCTTGGTTGTGATGTCTTCATCCTGAAGGATCATCCTGGCACCGCTTGCTTGCCGCCACTCTGCAAGGAGAACAGGGACACTTAACTCTGTTGTGCAAAGTCTCTGAGATAGGGAGCAGAGCCCTGGCAGTCCCTGTGTCCGTAACCCATCTGGTCACACACGTACAGGTTGCATCCATGTCAGTCGTTGTCGTTAACACTCTGTCAGATGCCTCCAACCACGTACAGACTCACACGCATCCAGCGTCCTCTTTGCAGAAGGAGAAAGAAGGTAGATGAACCATGAAAGGTTCAGGGAGGTGGTTCAGGAAAATGGCAAAGTTTAGAGTCAAGTCATAGGTTGTCCAAAGTGTTTTCTTTACCCTTGATAAAATGATATTGCTATCACAAAACAACTGTTGCACAGGAAACACTCACCCCTTCAAAGAGTGACACTATACAAAAATCAGAACCCAAACAGAAATGAGAGGTCCAAGACTAGGACATAACAACACACAATAGTGAGGTCTATAGGGATTAATAAAGCTGTTGATCCATTGGCAGAGCCCAACAGAGCAAGATCTGGTGCGTTAGCACCTTGGTTATTCACACTGCTTAACTCCTGCCTGATTCCCTGGGCCTGTTCTTGCTCCAACATGGGTTTTTCCAAGACCAGCCTATCCTTGTGTAAGTCAGCCATCCCCATGGGACAGGAGCAAATGACTGTGCCAGGGACAGAACTTCATCCCTGGCCCTTTTTCCTTTTGCAGCATAGACACAGCCTTTAGTGGTACCTGAGATACATCTAACTGCCAAGACTCAGCCACAGAGAGGGCTTCACTGGGCAGAGCATCTTGTTCAGCACAGCACCAGACCCTGTACTGGGCTGAGTTCATCTCCATTAGCACTTGTGCCACACTTTTTGCTACCCAAATCCAGAATTGACGAAGAGCAGGGAGCCCTTAGCTTTGGGCACAGTAGAAACGCAACAAGGAGAAGAGCTGGAGACAAAACCAATATCCTGGTCCATGGAGCATGTAATTTCTACTAGCCTTCAGAAGCATGTTTTTGGGCAGAAGGTGTCCAGTTTGTGATCACATCCAGTTCTCCAGCCTCTACCCCAAAATACTCAATGCTTCCCTCCTCTCTGCAGGATTGGAACAACTTGTTGCTTCCCAAGGTACCACCTTTTTGCTCAAATCTTGAAGAGTGCTCCGTGTGGAGGACTGTCGAAGCCTTCCCCCCAGAGGGAAGGAAATGGCCAAAAAAAGTGTAGCGTCACCTTGTGGCACCAGGGAAGGCTGCAAGATTAACCACAGACAACCTGGACCATCTCAAGTCTCCATTTCAATTGTAATATCTCACTCACAGTGACCCAGCCACGTACGGTTTAGCCAAAGTCAAAGCAGAAAGTCTATTTTTTTGTGGGAGTTAATTAAAATGAACTCTTGGATTCGGAGACATCACCTGCCGCCCCTGTTTATTTCTCCTAATATAAAAATGCAAGGACCGTTGCAAATTTCTTTTGGTTTCAGCAGTTTTCTTATCACATAATTAAAATGCATTGGGAAAGCCGGCCTCGCCTTTATTATTCATTTAAATTAACAGGAAGAGGTCAGCTGCTGTGTTTATTGCTGGGTGTTACTTTGGATGGAGATACTCAGAGAGTAAGCAAAGGTTATGTTGGCTAAGCACTGGTCCTGAACTGCCCTTTGTTTACTCCAGCTCCTTAGATCTTCACCTACATTATCTTCGTGATGTCTGATGATGATGTTCTCAGTTCATTCATACCTGAATTGGATTCCTGGAAGCTAACTGGTCCCAAACATTGCTTGAAAGAACAAAAAATGCTGAAGTTTGGGCTTCAAAAGGTACTCTTAGTGCCCCAGAGAGTGCCAAAGCCAATTCTGCTGTCACAAAGTGTGTGTCTGATGTGCCTTCCTCATGGTTTCTTGGGGATGGTGTCCCTTTGACTTCTGTCCTTCAGGGCTCTGCATATTCCTATGGTCCTTCTCTCTCCTGATTCACCTTTGGTGAGAGGTTTCAGGAGAGTTTTTGGAGAATTTCAGGAGAGATACACATGTTCTCAGCATTGCCCTTGGCTCTGGTATGAAAGACAGGCACAACTTTCCTCATCATGTGCTTTGTTTGCATGTAAAGGCTACACAAGATGCTCAGAGCAGCAGCAGCTTTCGCTCTGTTCCAGGGGACCTGGGGACATCATGGAATATCCCCTTGAGCCCCTTGTGCTCCTGCACAGACCAGGGGATTGCCCTTCGCCTTGGCCTTCCTGCAGAAAGGGGCGATGCAAGGAAGATGAAGGGCCAACCTGACTCCGCACAAGACCAACTCCTGAGCAAAACAAGGAGGGAAACACCCTTCAGGGCAGGTTCAGAGCATGTGGCTTCGGTTTTGCAGCCCATTTGCCCTGACCAAATACAAATCACTTCACTGTGCACCTGAGCAACGACAGGGAAGGGATCCTCAGTGGTGGTCTCCCAACCATTCATGGTCTCAGAGGAGCACTGTGTGCTCCCCTTCTCCACGAGTGCCAGCTGAGGTGACCACACACCGATCTGCAAAGGCTGGGAGCAATGAGATGGGAAGGGAGGATGCAAAAGGTGACCCTGACATCCATATTCAGAGCACTAAGTGAAAACCATTAGCTTTGTCCTCGCTGGCAGCACCCTGTCCCCTCTCTCATCAGATCTGCTCACTCCTCTGCGAGCCAGCACAAAGGAAAGACATACTCCAATCCAATTTGTTACACTTCCACCTTCCGGAGAGAGGGAAGGAGAGGGGGAGGGAGGTAAAAAATCCCATTATCTTTATCAAGCCTTCCAATCAGGAGCAGCGGTAAATGAAAACTCAGGAGACAGCTGCTGTGAAGCCTTTATATTTCATTCAGCAGATAGTGTATCTTTTTATTGCACACAGGAATTACTTCTTTTTTTTTCTTTCTTCTGTTTTTTTTTTTCCTTAAGAATCAAGCTTTCTGTTCAACTTGACTGGGAAATAGGAAATTCCAGGGGTATTTGACAAAGAGGTGCTTCTTTGAGCTGTAGAACTGCCTGGCCAGGGGAGGACTCTATGGGGAGATGAGAGATGGGGAGATCATAGAATCATAGAATTGTCAGGGTTGGAAGGGACCTTAAAGATCATCTAGTTCTAACCTCCCTGCCATGGACAGAGACATCTCGCACTAGATCAGGCTGCCCAGAGCCCCATCCAGCCTGGCCTGAAAAACTTCCAGGGATGGGGCTTCCACCCCCTCTCTGGGCAACCTGTGCCAGGGTCTCACCACCCTCATGGTGAAGAACTTCTTCCCAACGTCCAATCCAAACCGACCCATCTCCAGCTTCAATCCATTCCCTCTAGTCCTGTCACTACCTGACATCCTAACAAGCTCCTCACCAGCTTTCCTGTAGCCCCCTTGAGATACTGGAAGGCCACAATAAGGTCTCCTTGGAGCCTTCTTTTCTGCAGACTGAACAGCCCCAACCCTCTCAATCTGTCTTCACAGGAGAGGCGCTCCAGCCCTCTGAGCATCTGATGTTGTCCCGCACCTCAAATTGTACAGAAAATGTCGCACTTCTCTTGTGCCTTTTTTCTGATCTGGATCACCCCAAAGATGCCCATTGAACAAGGGAGAAAAATGTAGCAGAGAGAATGTATTTCAGGGGCAAATTAAATATCCAGCTGACTGAAATATCCAAGTGGATGGAAGACCTACCAGCTCACTCTGAGTGCCTTCATTTGAGCTAGTCATCATCAGCTAGACCATCCTTTACAGGCACTTCTACGTCATGATGCACACAATCGATTACAGTCAACCGTTTCATACCATGTTCTGTGCTTCCCACCCTTTTCCAAAAGACCTTAAGTCTCCCATGAAGGTCTGTGAAATGGTTCGTGGCTGACTGTGGCACGTGGAACAAATGCATGTGGCTTACCCACGCTTGATGACTTTTTCATGATCACTCGTGCTCCTGGAGATTTAGTCTGAAGAGCTGTGAGGCTACTTTTAGTCTTACTATGGAGTATTTTTTCACTTCCCAATAAATTCCTTGTGAGAGATGCATTGGAATCAGGAGAATAAACCCTTTGTATCAGGAGAATAAACCCTTTGTATGATGCAGGCACCGGTACAATCAGGTGGGTAGGAAACAAAAATGGATAAATGTGATGTCCTCTAGGATGAGAGGAATAACTCAACTCTCCTTCTGGGGTGGAGAAAAGACTACAATGGTAGGGGGAAAAAGCTCAGAACATATAGATGGAAGATGCCTGGGCAATATTTGATCCTGCATATGCAAGTTGTCTGCCTTACTGCATGTATATTAAAGTTAGATCCAGGTTAAATGGCTCCTGAAGGTTGAATCCCATTTCCCAGTGCTGGACCACTGGTGGGGCAGTGAAATCTTGCCTGAGATGGTCAACAATTAGCCCAAGGCAGCATGACAGGGTGCAAGGCAGCATGACAGGGTGCAAGGCAGCAAACCTAGCAGCTCCCATCATCTCAGCAATCCCTTTCAAAAAGCAACCGAAACACAGGGAAGAGCCAATGCCTCAGCGTGAAGCCAAATTCCTGTTTTGTGATCCTTAATGCTTTCCCAAATATGGGCTATTTATGGCGAGGGCTTTAAAAACAAATAATAACAAAAAATAGCTACTGTAGAAAGAAGCCTTTACTCAGAGAGTTGCAATTTGGGGCTTGGGCTAAAATGTAACCTCAGGGTGTCCAAAATAAGTGCTTTCAGCTGACAACCCCCTCCGTGAGTTGTCTGGGTAACTGCAAAACATTATGACATTTGCGACACGTACAAGTCACTCTGCCTGCAGCTACCCTGCATTTAACAACTCAAAACAACTCATTAGCTTGTTTGCTTTCTTCCCCGTGAGCATTCTGGCCTTAGCATGGACAGAAAGCCTAGAAAATTGTAATTGTAATAGAAAACGGTATCGCCGTTTAGAAAATCATTGCTTTCAAGGCCAGATTACAGTCATCTGCTCTGACCTACTGTTTAGCGTGGCCGGTGCCTTTGCAGTTGTGAGCGTTCAGCCTGGGGCAGGTTCATCCTGAGAGCTCAGTGCTGCTTCCTAACGCCCATCAGCGCTTTCTCCTCTCCTCTTGCTGCCTTCACTGTCTACCTAAGGACTCCAAGTGCCAACAAATATCTTTTCCTGCAAAGGAACTGGGCTGGAAGTGCATATCCTCTTGCTGCCGCTTCATCCATGCCAGTCTTGCTTCTCCCACCTTGTTAGCTGCTGTGCTAATGGAGCCTGTAACTGTATTGCTGCTGGCAAGATTCTTCTACTACATGGAGGGTTTTTTGTGTTTGTTTTGTGGGGTTTCTTCCCCCACAACTGCATCCTCAACACTATTGGCCAAAGAGCTGCTCGTTAAGCAGCCTTCTGTCACTATGGAGAAGTCTTGTCCTTTGAGGGGTACACACATTCATGAATACTTTCTGGAATCTGCTAGTCCTCAGCATCACTCATGAGGTCAATATTTCTGAAAACAGTAGCAGTCTTGGATGTAAAACTGTCAGGCTCCAGCTGGGAGCCTGCACACGCACACTTCTGTATCTGCCAGTTGTCAGAGCTATACTGAAATCCAATGGACTCCAACTTATCCCTGATATTTGCAACATGCAGGATAAATGCCTGCTGCCCATTATGGATGCATTATTCATCTCCACAACAGAACAGGCTACCTTCCGCTCACAGACAGCCTGAAATCCGAACATGATGGGCTCTGTGGCCACCACCCAGCACCAGAAAGGTCAAGGGATCCGTCTGTAAACCTCACTCCTCCAGTCTACCGTGCCCTGACACTGGGCTCTCACCCTCACCATTCCCCTGCTGAATCTCAGAGGCTCCAAAATCATCTTGAGTCCTTTCTTCATGATGTATATCGTAGAATCCTAGAATCGTAGAATGCCCTAAGCTGGAAGGGACCTTAGAGATCATTTTAATCCCACCTCCCTGTCACCAGGGACACCACCTCTCGACTAGATCAGGCAACACATGGGGACATGATCTCTTCTTTACTGCTGCTGGCTTTGGCAGCTTGTTTTGTTATTCTGACTGCCTTTCACAAGCAGGAATCTCACTACAATTTCTGTCAGGAATCTCCTCCTGCCCTACACACAGACACATACACTTAACTCTAATCCCTGACCCCTCATTGCTGCCTCCATTATTGTTGTGAATTGTTTCTTGGTGTCAGTCTGTTCGTTCTCCATTTGATTCCTCTCCTGCTTTGATGGGTTTTAGAGACTCCATCATTTTCCACTCAAGTGTCTTTCACTGAAGGTCACTGAGGGCAAATTCTGGCAGATACAGCCACAATGCAGCCCCCAGCTTCCTACCAGACACTTCAGCCATACCCTGAGAAGATTTTTCTATATTCTTTCATAGTAGTCTCCTGAGGTAACACCACATCTGCCTCTGGACCCCAGCTTCAGGCATCTCACTCCTCACAGGATCCTTGCTCCAGATTTTGAGCATAAACGGATTTTCAGCCTCAGAGGCACCTCTGAACTGGGCTGTACAGCTCCCAGTGTGCCCCTGAGCCTGACAGAGCATCTACCTAGAAATGCAAGTGAGGCTTGTGCTGTTCTTTCCCCTCCCCAAGCAAAGTGCTCAACGAACAAGCAAACTACTGAGACAAAAAATAATCATAATCAGAAGGATGAATCTTTCCTTGAGAGCTCTTAATCCTTTATCAGACAGGAAACCTCGGAGCAGCAGATCCTAGCCTTGCTGTTGGTAGTGGGGTGCTGGCAGGAGGGGGAAGCAGTAGAAGATGAGATGGATGCAGCCCAGTGAGTAAAGGATGCTTCATCCCCTTTCCAACGCCCCTACAACAAGTTGACAACATCACGTTTGGTACTCTTTTTGCAATGATCTTTGTCAAGATAGTGAGAACAGTCCCACTCACGCCTTTTCCATACCCTTATCCAAGCTACAGTCTGTGGGCAGAAAAACAGGATGACTACTGGTCTTTCTAAATTCTTAGAGCCAAATATTTCATAAGCCAGGAACATGTATCAACTTATCAAGCTCTTCTGCCCTTTCACCACTGTTGCTGCTCTGCCTTGCACAAGCACCAAGGGCGCACTCAGTCTGGGCAGGTGGCACCTGCCCCAGCAAACAGTGTCTGGATTGAATTTGGCTGTCTCCCATCTCCCATCTCCCATCTCCCCTCTCCTCCCTGCCCAGGGGCAATCAGGGGCCTTTGTGAACTCACATACCCAAGTCCATATCAGCAGCTTTGGGCCGGTGGGAACAGGGCACATTCTTGAAGATGGCATCGAGGATCTTCTCCTTGACCTGTGTGATGGTGTCACAGTTCAGGATCTTCACCGGGATCTCGGGGCTGTTCACGTTGTCGGGGTTCACGCAGCTCAGGACCTGAAAGAGAGGCAGTAAGACCCACCAGACATTTCACAGCAGCAAGGGTACCCTGTGTCTCCCCTTCTTGAAGGTCCCTGTGTCATAGAAGCCAAAGGGAATAAGGGGAAAAATGTTTACCAAGAGTATTCCCTCCTTCAAGAGGGCTTTACACAGAGGGATTCCATGTATCGGTGCCTGTGAAACTACTATACCCATGGGAAGAGCCCCTTGGAGTTGAATCTCATCTCCATAGCGTCTTCACTATCCTTAATAACAGAAAGTCCACGAATACCAGCTCAGGTTCTGGCACTATCAGGAAAGATGGCACTCACACAAATGGTACCAGACAGTGGTCATTGACACAGTCATTAAAAATGCAGTAAAGCCTGACTATGGCTGGAAATGAATTAATATTCAAAGGACCCTCCAGAGCTTTCATTGGCCTCTGAACCATTCTGTGCTCTCTAGAGAGCCGCAAAGTGACCTACTTCAGTAGTGGCCTCCTTGCATTGCCACCTGACTTTGATGATTCAGCTTAGAGTGCTCTTGCATCTTTAAGTTTGTTCATCTTTTGCACAGCCATGCCACAGACCCGGACCCTTCTCAGATAAATATTATTAATTTGAATTGCAGGGCTACTTAAAAAAAAAAAAACAACCCACAACAAAATACCAAAATACCAACACCAATTTCTGCTTTCACAAATAGAGCAAGAGGATTGACTCAGCTAGAGAGACCTCTCATTCTTCAGAAGGGTATAATTTACTGCAGAGGTTCTGTCCAAGAGTAAATGCAAAGCATATGAGGTGGTACAGGAGAGAGGGATACCTTAAACACATATATACGGTGTTTAACCGCAATGTGCCTGCTAACTTTTGGCCATGTCTGTGTCCAGGATTCTGCTCTCTTCTAGTTATAAGAGTGTGAGGTCTATAAACTTTTATAGACTTCACATGCCTTTGCGATTGGAAGGAGTGTTCAGTGATGCTCCTGGCTATATACAGTCATTAAGTGTTCCTGCGCCACTTTTACAAGTGCAGACATGTTAGTTTTGGTGTCGTAGATGAATTCTACTTTGTAAATTCCCTTCTGTAGTATGCGATAGGCACTGAACTCTCCATCGCTTTCCATCTTAACCTGTTAAGATGCAGTGGGATCTGAAAGTGGCTTGAAGCTGGGTGAAATCATATCAGTATAATTATGTATTGGCTCAGCAGGCTCCCTTTGGTGCTGTTATGCTCAACTAAGAGGGACTTGTGAAGATATTGCTTACAAAGAGCTCTGTGATCTTTCTGGATGAAAGGGGAGATGTAAATATGAGATATTGATTAGATCATAAAGCTATTATTTATATGTCACTTCCAGGAGTACTGAAGAAGCATCAATTCAGATAATAATAACAATGGCACAGATTTACGGCTCTGTGGCATCTTTCATCTCAAAGAATCACAGAACTATACATAAAAAGTCCTGTTGAAACGCATCCAATGTTGAGGTTATAATTTGCTCCCCTCCTGTTCCACATCTGTAGGTTTGCAGTGACAACAGGCTGGGACAGCTCTTTTGAGAGTGTTAGGAGGTCACACGCTGTTCTAGAGACCAAGTTACTCAGCAGGTCTCTCTCAGTGATGTGAGGTCAGAGGAGGTGAAATGAGCTGATGCAGGGCAGAGCAAGCTCTGTGGCATGCTTCATCTCTGATGCAAACACCTGGGGTCCAATTCAGTTCCCCACATGAAGGCACTTGGCTCTCCTTACAATAACTCAGATTATCCTGCCAGGCCAGCATCTGGCCCAGAAGACCAAACATCTCCTGCAGGCACTGACTAGTGTCCACCACACCCAGCACCCACCATATAATGCAGACCACCATCCAGCTGGAAGATAGCAAATGGGATTTGCCCTTAAAACTTGGTTGTCCTTGATTTTCCCAGGGTGACGACTTTGGAAAGCACGGGAAAACTTTGCCTGAGTGAGCCATGATCACTCATCCCCTGACTACAGCAGTCCTTGCTTTCTTCTTTTCCAGCTCAGTTGGAAGAAGAAGGAGCAGGGAAAGAAATATTTACAAGGCCTGTGCAGAGAGGAGTTTGCTCTCAGTGTGGGGAGCTGGTAGTACCCATAAATCTCTGAACTCCAGTGTGTCAATGATGGTTGAGATATTCCTCTCAAAATCTTAGAGAATTCAAGCATTGCTTTTAGAAACCAACACCCCTCCCATAGCACAGTGACTTTGACATATATGCCCCAGGCTTCATATGAACTCTCAGCTGGTGTTTTCAAGTGTTCTCTCGTGGAACACCAATCTTTTCTCTGTACAAAGAATTTGGCATGGTCTATCTGTGTACTGCACACACTAAATCGCTGCTCTTTGAAGGTTGTCATGAGGCCTACAGAAGTCATCCTTACACCACACATTAAAAATGTCTTCTCTTCTTTCAACAAACTGAAGCTCCTAGTCATAAAGAGGTGTTTGCAATGGAGAGAGAGATTCCCATCACTTCTGTGGGAATCCTCCCAAGGGTTTCCTCTCTTGTCAACCCAGGCTTGTACAGATAGTCTCACTGAAAGACTAAGGTTTGCCCTGTGCTTCCAGCCAGAGCTTTCCTCATAAAAACTAAAGACAGAGAACTAGTGTCATGGCTCAGCTATGTCAACCAGTCTTTGAGGTCTTTTAGCGGGGAAGAGATCCCTGAGATGGCCTGTGTAGTATTCCTGAGGGAAGATTTGCAGCGCTGATCTCCTGAAGCATTCACTGTTACTGCCCCCTCACCCACCACCTGCCTTTGAGCCCTGTAGGGCAGAGTTAGCAAGGTGGATAAAGGGGAGGGGAGACTTCAGTGTCACTCAAGCAGATGCTGAACATTTTGCCACTGAGGGGACACCAGCTCTTGGCACTGCTGTTCTGTCATGCATTGAGGTCTGTGTCAGGACAGCATAACGACAGTGCCAGACATGAAGTCCACATGAAGAGGTATGGGACTGGGAGTAAGCAGAGGAGTCTATACACTGAGTGTATATGACCTTGGGGCCTGTCAACTTGCTGGATTAGTGTTTATTGACCTTTTTCTACATCTCTAGGCTTTTCTTTTCATCTGCCAGCCCTTCCAGTCATGAGCTGTCTCTAAATGTATATACATATGCAGCGCTTGACACAGCTAAGCCCTGATTTCTACCATAGATTGCTGGCATTTAAATAACAGAGGCAGAGCTTGTGATTACTCACATGTTGACCCTGGTTCTGAGTTCTCTGTAACATGTGAGTGGTCTGCCCTGAGACTCAGATGATGCCACAGTTTCTGTTCCAGGGATGATCATCTTTCTCTCCCTTCCACATTGGGCTAAGAAAGGTTCGAGAAGCCTAGCACACAGCAAGGCTCGACAGCGAACAAGAAGGACCCTCCCAAAAAAAGCCAAGCAGAGGAGAGCCCTGCTACCAAAATTCCTTGAAAAGTCTTAACCAAATGCATCTGAAAGTATCTTTACCCATCCAGAATACATTGTTAGAAGAAACTATCCGATTAGGCTCTCGGCATTGGAGCCACCGAGGTGTGCAGGGATCACGCAGAGCATGCTGCTGCTCGAGATGTACTGGGCAGCTCCCACCTACCACCTTCTAGCACTAATTAGCCAATAGTCCTGAGAGCTTCCAACACACATCGGAATCTTTTCTCACTTGCATTATTTGTATCAACAAAAATGAAGATGACACAGGAGAGGGATGGTCTTTTACCTCTCAGTCGCGGCAGAGCAGCGGCAGTAGGGAGTGAGGGGTGTTTTCTTTGCATCTGGACTCTGATTTGGTGAATGGTTAGGAAAAATCATGGATTCTGGCAAAGGCAGATGGGAGTCAGCAGGGATGAGATCTTCCTGTCTCTCGTAGCTGGAATAATCTAGCTGGGTTTTATTAACCCTGCCGAGCAGAGATGATGAGCACTGACTGCTAGCGAAGACATTAACACAAGAGGGTGTTTCTCTGAGGTATAAAGCTTGGGAGGAAGACCTACTGTTCAGTTACAACACATTTATTCTAGCAAATCATATCTGTAACTAGCTTGGTTTCTACTGTACTGCAAAATCCCTTGTAAGTACAGAAATTGTTACAATCTGCAAAGACCCAAGGACATCGAGGCTGCTTCCTCAGAGAACTGTAGGGTCTGGCAGACAGCATATTGGAGCTATCTGGTTTGGAAAGAAAACAGACTGAAACAATCTAGATTTCGTGAATGAGGTGTACATTGTAAAATCAATAATTCCAGATGTTTGAAAGTGCTCTGTCTTCTTTTTTCTCCCTGGATAAGTCAATTCCTTTGGATCTGGTTTTCAATTCAAAACATATTCAAAATCATGACTTAAAATATTTGGGCATGATTAATGAAAGCTAAAGAATAAATGCCTTCTAAAAGAAGCCCTGGACTTGTCTTCCTGGAATAAATGTCAATAAACAGCCTGTTTCAATGTGCCACGCTGCTGGAATTATGATTTAACTCAGTCAAGCAGTCATCTAGCACTCATGAAATGTTAACAACCCAAAGAATTTTAGCCACACAAACTGCAAAGAGTGGTCACCACGTGCATTTGGTAGAGAACGGGAGACATTGAGGGAATTCCTGTATTACAAAGTCTGAGTCAGGTCTTGTTTTGTTTCATTACTCTATTTTTTTAATAAAAGATGACAGACTGCTTAAGGAAGGGAGAGGAAGGACAAAATAAAACCAAAATACAGAGAAACAGAAAGGAAGAACAATCCTATTCATATTCTTCTTCTTCTTAATCTCCTTCACCGAAGCTGATCTCTGTAAATCTGCTGAGATTCCTATCGGGATATATTTGTCTGCTCTTGAGATGTAAGAGGGAGAGCTGATTAACATCAAACGACACAAAGCGAATGGAGGAGAGCTTTGTTCAGGCTGATGTATAATTACTACCCTTTGCTGGCTGCTTTATATCAAGCCTAAAAGGATCGGGGGGATTTCCTTTGGTGAAAGTGATCCCTCTGTGTCTGCATTTTTCTTCTTTTTGCTCCCTTTCCACGTGAGACCAGGCCTCCAAATTGCTAGACAACCACACGTAATAGAAAAGCTGCTGATTTAACAGGAGAGTCACATTTTCATACACCAAATGAAATGGTGGGCTTATTTAAAAATGAAGTCTGCCCCCTCATCAGACTTGAATTCAGTCAAAGCTCAGCTCTAGGCTGCCTGTTACTGAAGAAAAGCAGGAGTTCCTGGCAACCACCCACCTGAGCTAAGATCGAAGACAGGTCAAGGAACTACCATTGACTGGGCACAGCTCTCAAAGCTAGCTGAAGTGAAGTGAGATCAATGTCCCTCAACTGAAGGTGCACATCAAATAATCTGGTAAGTTCAGAGCACCTTTGGACAATCCTAAAATTTGACATCGGGGCCTTTCTGAGAACAGAGACACGGGAAATACAGAAATTACAAGGATCACTGAAGATCTGGAAAGTGTTCTTCATCCTGCAGAGACTTAGAAGCACCAAGGATTTAGTGCATGCAGGAAAAAGTGATGGCTGACAAATACACTAAGAGGAGACACCTAATGCTCTCTAATCAAGTGGGAAAAGGCTGTAATCTCAGAGTAGGAGCTAAAGCTGAACATATGTGATGTTTATCTTCCACCATGCAGACAATTACATTTTGAAGCAAATGATTCAGTGACAGGGATTAATTTTATTTCCCTTGAAATCTTTAAATCAGGTTAATTTTTCCTTGACTTCTGCTTGCTCGGGAAGAATGGTGGCATCAGTTCGAGAGAAAACCTAAAAAAGTTCCTCCACTGTGTTCCTCTAACATATTCCTTGATGCTGACATCTTCATTGGAGAAAAAAGATTTTTTATTTATTTTTTTTTCCGGTGAGGATTATTCTATAGAAGATCCTTACATTAGAGCTTCATGTAACTATTGACCAAGAAGGCCAACGGCATTCTGGGCTGGATCAGAAATAGTGTTGTCAGCAGGAGCAGGGAGGTGATCAGTCGTCTCTGCTCAGCTTTGGTGAGGCCACACCTCAAGTCCCGTGTCCAGTTTTGGGCCCCTCACTACAAGAAGGACATTGAGGTTCTGGAGAGGGTACAGAGTTGGGCTGTCAAGCTAGTAAAGTATTTGGAACACATGTCCTATGAGGAAGGGCTGAGGGAGCTGCGGCTGTTTAGTCTGGAGAAGAGGAGATTGAGGGGAGACCTTCTTGCTCTCTACAACTACTTGAAAGGAGGTTGTAGTAAGGCGGGGTTTGGTCTGTTCTCCCTAGTGGAGAGTGATAGGATGAGGGGAAATGGATTTAAGTTCCGCCAAGGGAGGTTCAGGTTGGATATCAGGAAGAATTTCTTTGCTGAAAGAGTTGTCAGGCATTGGCACAGCCTGCCCAGGGAGGGGGTTGAGTCACCGTCCCTGGAGGTGTTCAAGAAACGGGGAGATGTTGCGCTGAGGAACATGGTCTAGTGGTGTTCATAGGGCTAGGAAAAGGCTGCATGATCTTGAAGGTCTCTTCCAACCGAAACTGTTCTATCATTCTATGATTCTGTTGTTGCTGTCACTTGAAGCAGTTCGTGGGCTTTACACTGACCCAGCACCAGAATGTCTCAGGACATTTTTGCACTTGCCGTACCCTGAGCTCGGTGTCTCTGTGATCACAAGTGTCCCATGGACAAGGACTCTTGTCTGACCTGCCTGATCTCAGCTCTGGGGACACCAGGCATGGACAAGGGACCAGCAAACACCAGTCCTTTGTGCGTCCAGGCTGGGTGCTCGGCAGCTCTGCTGCTGGTGCTGGGGACCAGGGAGAAGGGAGCAGGTAATGGACTAAAGGACGCAAGAGTGAAGAGGAAGAAACCTCACCATGAAGATCACACTCCTCCCAAGGAGGAGCCCAGGGTGGTGACAACTTGCAGTGACAAGCTCAGCTTTCTGCTGTAGAAAGACCATTAACTTTGACTTACAACTCAGAGGGACGTTGCAAGGGAGGGCATTACTCCACGGAACAGTGGTAGATACTAGGAACTATTTTGTCTAATAGGAACTATTTTATCTAATAGAATAGATCAAAGTTCCTATATCTCTTTTCCTCACATTCACGGACATATTCATGACATAAGGCTCACATTTGTCTTTCAGTTCTCCCAGTCATCACCTAATGCAAACAACGGTAAAGGATTGGCATTTTCAGCCATCGCTGCAAGGAACAGAGATGCTTTCAGAGAACAGGCAATGACTTTGGGGAGCTGGAGATGCTCTGGGCAGAGGATAGGGCACTATGGAAATAACTTGGAAGCAGCCATCTTTGCAAACATGCCTTGCAAGCAGATCCTTCAGCCCCAAACCTCACTGTTAGGGGATGCAACTAGTCATTTTTCAGCAGCGTTACCTTGCTTGCAAGGGCTGAAGGAGTAAACCATCCTAGGCTATCAATATGCTGATTACTGAGTTCTTTTCTCTAAATCGCCTTTTACCAGAAAAGGCTGGACAAACCCATAGGAAGGTGTGCTCAGAGTACTCACCAGTGTCTTGTAATCAATCTGCTGTCGGATAAGCTTGTCCTCACTCAGTGAGTACCGGGCCTCCCCAGTGATCGAGTCGATGGGACCCTTTTCCATCTGCTGCTTGATGGCACAGAAAAGGGAGAACAGAGGTTCGCCAGCACACTCCTGCAGAGGTGAGAGACAACCATGAGGTGAAACAGGAAGAGTAGAGGTGAGAGCTCAACCTACATAGCATCTCAATGACTGTCATGGTTTGCCATCCCCAACCACTTGAGACAGAAGCATCAGTAGGATTCAGCCTATTCCATACAGCCTGGGAGTAGAAGTGACCTTCCACTTCCACAGAGTGAAACCAGCCCTCTTGAGTGTTCTGTCACAGGACAAAGATGTCAGTGCTCCCTGGTAATGTTGGAGCAAGCTGAGCCTTGTAGGAGCTGTTCAGGTGATTGCCACCGTGCCAGAGTTTCGCACTGAAGTAGGTGGTGGGCTGGGTGCCGGAGGACCTGGAGACAGGTCTGAAAGGGAAATGAACTGCTCGTGCCCCATTCAGGGTGTCTGGGGAGGGTCCAAAGTCTCCTTAAGAACTCTCATGCTGGAAGGAAACAAGGATGTTCAGGCAGGAGCAGCTCCATGACCCAGGAGAGACATGTCCCTGGATCCGTGTGGTTATATCAGTGATGTGTGGGGCCCAGTGCAGCACAGCACCAGGCAGCCCACAGGCAGGGCCAGCGAAGCACACCTCTCCCTAATTTCTCCTTCCCATCATTCACACGCACTCCACTGCTCTTCCCACACTTTTCCTAGTGTCTCCTCCTTTGCTGCCCTCCCCCTGCGCAATCGATGACATGCATCCCTCTTCACCCTTTCTTCCATTGCCTCCTTTCCCCTTCATCTCTCCATCCTTCCTTCTTCCTCTTCACCTTGCCCTCTCCTCTTGCGGTGCATCCCAACTCAATGAGCAAGGTCGTTTTCCTCTGGTGTAAATCCCAGCAAAAACAAGTTAATAATCTGAAGCAAAGTGGCCCCTTTCTCAGTTCCTACACCTGTCTCCCACTTAATTAGCTTATCTGCCAGCAGCATATTGCTTCTGTGTGCTTGTCTCTTGCCCTTATCAGGCCTCTGCTCAGGCTAAGGCAAGAAGACAAGTAGCTGACTAGGGTGAAAAAAGCCTATTATAAAAGCAGCTCTTTAGAGAGTCACCTCCTTATATCCTTTCCTTTCAGCTGAAAGTGGGAATCTGATACTGAAGTCACTGAAATTACCTTCCAGGGACCTTCAAAACCTTCCTATGTGTTCATTCTTGGATTGCTTGTGCTTGGGGAAGGCTCAAGGGGATGAGACTGATTTGTAAAGCCTTGAATTGCCAGGCAGAGGGTGGCTATTCTGTCCACACAGGGCTGTAAGGTGCAAGAATATCAGTGTTGGGAGTGGGTAAAAGGTGCAGAGCCAGCTCCTTCCAAAAACCTATCTCTGAGTTTGGTGGCTTGGCAATCAGCATGTTTGAAGCTCAGTGTGGGTCCCCAAGAGGAAATTAGCATCACCTAGCAGTCTCAAAGGCTGAAAGACTCTGGTTTTTTACTGCACATCACCCCAAGGAAACCCTCCAGGAGGAACGAGAGGGCTCAGAAAGTGTCTTAAATCCTTTCACTCTTTTGATGATAAGTGTCTTGGAAAGCCAATGCTACCTCCCGCTGGGTTGCAGAGAAGTGAAGGTCTCAGCCTGAGTTGGGGTCTGGATGCATCATGGGGTGTCCAGCCCTCTGTACCCAGTGTTCATGGCCGTGCCCAAAGCAGCCTTGAGACAGCCTAATGCCAAGAAGAACTTGGGCCTGGGCCTAAATTAAACTAAATGGGGATCTGGTTATGGTGTGCGATGGAGGTACCGGGTAGGGTGGAGTCACCGAGCCTCAGTACTGACTCTGAATCAGATCTTCAGCCACTATATACTGAAAATATGAGTCATGATGTGATGGAGATCTGACCTTGATAGTAAAAAGAGAGCATTTTCTACAGATGTCTCCATCACCCTCTGAAATCTTTCACTTTTCAGTACTGTCCCTTAGATCCCACCTCTGAACAGGAGTAAGATCAACAGGCTGCCTCTCTGACAAAGTGTCCTTCTTTGTCCTCCCTGGATCAGAAAACAGCCCCTCTCGCATTGCGATGTGAGCTCCTTCCAGGGAAAAAAAGCCTTCTCCTTTACATATCTGAGATTTTTTGCTCCAACCTTAACCCCACTAGGAAGATATATATTAAAGCAGCTGGTCATCCAGGTATGCTGCTCCTCTTACCTTGAGGAACTTGTACAGAAGGAAGGTGAACCAGTTAGTGAGCATTTTCTCAGCCACAGACTCTGTCCTAAAATCAGCCAGGGAGAGAAAACAAATTGTAAATGAGTTAGTCATACTACTCGTATCAAAGGACTAGACAAAAGATTGGCTTTGTCCATCTTCTTGCCCAGATCACTGAACCCCACGGAAACTCTGATATGATACCATCAGTATTAAGCATGTCCTAGGTTTTCTGTTTTAACTTTGGATTTAGGAAACCTGCAGGCAAATTCTTACTGCCCTATTGATGCTCCTGTGACTAAGGAAGTCCTCGTCTGTCTGTTTCTCAATTTGTCCATCAATAAAAAGGAGATGACAGAGTGTGAGGGAACATTCTCAGAGGAGCTCGGGAAGGATAAATCCATCAAATATGAGGAACTCGGAGTTAGGTCATACGACAAGTAGGTTATATAAATACTTAAGATCTAAACCACCAGAGAATGGCATCTGGGAGTGATTATACTCCTCATTGTGTCCATGTGGCACATTCACAGAGCTCATCCTTTTGCCCTGGTGCACTCTGTCCTCAACCAAACAAAAATTCATCTTTTCAGGATGAACTTTCCTATGGAAAGACTGACTCGGACACGGAAATTTGGTGTGGACACAAGGAGCACAGAATAAACCATATTGGTTTCAGTACATGCACTGGTGTTGCTCAAGAAGACACCAAGAGTCCCTGCGTGAACGAATTAAAGTGGGTCTTCCTTATCCTGGCTATCACCAAAATCATGCATCGGTTTTCACTTAGGACTGCAGCTTGCCTTTTGGGTTTCCTTCAGCAGAAGGTTGATCTTGCTTCCTCTCCATGAGGCTTGCAAGGGGATGGGTTTGCATTGCTGGATCTACAAGTATGGAACCAGTCAACAATCTTGCCTGAAAGCAGTGCCCTGTTACACAAACAGGGAGCACGTGACGGTCCCTTCCCTAGCAAAATGCATCTAATCTTTAGCCTGGTTTCCACAGGGATTTCTCTGTTCTTGTGGGTAAATCTCAGACGGTGGGGATCCTGGAGAAGAGGAATGACAATAAGAGTGTTTTCTGTCACTCCTCTTTTCTTGCCTGATATCAGAGAAAGAGGTGATATGGTCCCAGTTTGCTACCAGATTAATGCTGTGTTTCCTTTGTCTACAGTGATCATTGCTATGTCTCTGCCTAGATACTGCCTCTGTCCACACCAGCCCATTTGCCCAATTTTCCCCTTGGACAATGTCATCTAGCTGCTGTCCTCCCTTAGTTGTGGTATGATAATCTCCACACTAATCATGGTCTGAGTTTCTCACAGAGAACGCTGTTCAGAAGAGTAGTTGGGACCCATCCTATGGTGCAAACCTTACCACAAGAAAAAGAAGTGAAATCTTATTGTGTCGTTGCTCTCTGCACTGACAACTTTGATCTCTTTGAGCCTGTACGTGTCAGGTGGAATGAACACCAGACACAGGTGAGGTGTGAAAATCATTCCAGACAGCTCCTTTCTCTTGTCGAATACTCACAAACCCAACATTGCAGAAAGGTGTTGGAAGATTCCCTTCCATCCTGGCTCACATGGATAGAGGTGAAGCATCAAACTGAACCCAGTTGCCCCAAATAATTGTCTCAGGGCCCATACCAACATCTGACCCAAGGCACTGAGCTATTCACTTGTTCTGCAGTAGTCTTTGTTCTGGTGCTGCTCAGTGCAGGACCACAATTTCAGAGCACAAGCCACATTTTTGACTTCTCATGCAGAGCTTGGAACAGTGGAGGTGCCTTCCTTGTTCACTAGCTCTCCTTCCAAAAGCCATGTTTCATTTCCAAAAGAGAGGACTAGGGATAGAAAAGAGTGGGAAGAGGAAGAAAGAGAAAAAAATGGGATGCTCAGGACAAGAAAGGAATGAACAGGAAAGATGAAGAGATGGAGAAAGAAAAAGGAGAAAATGAAGGGATGAGACAGCTAAAAGGGAGCAATGCCATCCAGCATCAGAGGAGAAGCACAGAAAGGAAGTCTGGGTAGAGCTGGAGGAAGGTCACCAGCCAGGCTGCAGGGCTTGAATCACATCAGCGAATGAACTGACACCAACACAAAGTCCAGTCTCTGCCCCTGGCGTTGCTGCCCTGCATGCCAGCAAGTGCCTTCTGCTCCCTTTGTTGCTCATTCTCCACAGTAGGCTGTGTGCCAGATGAAAAGCCTTCCAGCAGACACCACAGATCTCTTCCCTGCCCAAGCCATCGATTGTAATCATCCAAGGGCTCCTCAAAGCTGGCTCTGAGCAGTGGCAAAGGGCATTCATCTCTAGATGACTCCTCCTGATTTTATTTGGGGTCCTTGAATCAGAAGGGCTGGTTCAGACTGTGAAAAGGAGGCAAATGTGATCCTAAAGGGAGAAAAGGCAGCTTTTCCCTAGGCAGGGAAAGCATATTAATTACAGAGCAGTAGATTTCTGATTCAAGGGTTCCCACAGAATGGTGGAGTTTAGACCTTAGACCTGATCAGGAAGAACCAATCCTAACTTGTGTCCCACAGGAAACCAGTTCTGCTTGGAAACACAGGTTATTGGTGCCCTTACGAAGTTTTCTGGAAGATCCACATTAAAATCCAGAGGTAGTTTGGCTCTTTTAATCAGTGGACTTTTAATCAGTGACAAAAGTAGGAAGATCTATGGAAGATCTTTAGAAGATCATAGGAAGATCTATGGACATGCTTGCTGAAAGGGAAGGAAATGCAGAGAGGATGCTAGGAGGAAGAGGAGAGTCTTCTAAGAGAAGGCATGTTCTGTCAGAAAGTCTTAAATGAGCAGAAAAACAGAAAGACAGATTGATTTGGTCTTCATTCAGTCTTACTTGTCTCATCCGACCCTCTCTGCAAACAGCTTCATGAGAACCGTGGCCGTACAGCAGCCTGATCTCACACTTTGCTGCACGAGCAAAAATCAAGAAAATCTCCACCTTTCCTCCAAAAGCGACAGGCATGCTGATGTTAGACAGTGAGGCAGAGGCTGCCCAGCCCAGCACACTCCAGCCCCAGGCATCCTTACCTCCGGAGCAGCAGCTTGGGGTGGTTCTTGCTCTCCAGATTTTTGTCTATGAGGTCAGCCAAGAGCTGTTTGAGGACATCAGTAGCATACTCCAGCTTGCTCTGCAGCACCGTCATGATCAGTGAGGCCACGTTACCACGGTCCCGCATGGAGAAGCTGCGCTGGGACTCCAGCGTGCGGATGAAGGACAGCAGGAAAACCTTGTTGTTGATGAGCTGGGCAAAGAGCTTCAGGCCTTTCTCCACCCGTTCCTGCCTATAGCCAGGGACCTGCACAAGAAGAAAGAAAGTTTGTACCTTTCCCTCATCACCCAACATCAGATCTCCCCACACGGATCACACACCCTTTGATGCCTCTCTGCCCTCGTCCCCGAGCTCCTCCAGCTATATAATTTGATATAAAGCAGAAGTCAGTTCTGAGACAGGGAAAAAAAAAAGAAAAGCTGCTTCAAACAGCAGAGACAATTAAAAAAATAACAACCTTGCATCCAGCAAGCAGGTGAGTCCTTCCTTCTGCATCACAAGATAGTCTCGTAAAAAGGAAGAGAGTCCGTACATCATCTAATGATTAGGAAGCCTTATAGAGATCTCAGCCACAGCCAGATGATTCTTTTCCAATCTTGTGTTTGCCTCTCTGAACAGCACATGTAAGAGAGACCGCTAGTACCTAGACATGGTACCACACCATGTCATATTTTCATTGTAGTCAAACTGAAGTCTCACTCTATCTTCACCTAAAACCTCTTTTTCAGTCCTGCAAGACACCTGCTTACAGAGGTTTGGGGTTCAGCTTTGAGAAACCAGGAAAATCGGTAAATGAATGAGTAAAAAAGCCTGGGGTCAGGTTTTTGAGGAGATGAAGAGATGCAGTGAGATAGTGGCTGAGATGGTGATCATGCCTGTGGTTTGTAGAACTAGGTAGATGGAAATGTGAGAGGACACCCTGAGCTGGGACCTGTCTTGGACAGGACACTGCAATATGACTCCTGAGCTTGGGAGGTGATCTAGTTTGGAGAAGTTGATAAGTCTCTAATATATGTCTCAGCTGGGAGGGGCTGGTGAACTCTATTTTATCTAGAATGATTTAAGACCTCAACACTGGATCCTAGATGCCACAGTCTGCAGTGGGCTTTACCCCTTCTTGTCCCTCTGTCTCTAGATGAAAATGGACCCTAATTAGACAACCCCGAACTCATTCCTTCCTGTTGCTGAAGTTGTTCCAGCCCTTGAAAAAGCTTCCCTGGAAGCTGGAGGGTCTCAACACAGAGCAACACATCACTGAGGCATGTATGTATTAATAATAATCAACCAGATTTGGCACTTTAATCCAAAACAAGTTGTCATGCTTAAACAACCAAGTAATGCAATGCCACAGAAAGAGTCATTACTTTTTGATTCTGGAAATTAGAGCTCTTAGCTCTTTTTTTTCTGTGTACAGCAAATAAATTACTTCGTAAATAGCTTGAGACAACCAACCAACCACTACCACCCAGCCCAACAATAACTATTTTTAACCTACTTGCTTGAACATTTAGTGCTGTCTATCCCCAGGTTATTATGGAGAATTGAAAAAAAAAAAACCAACAAGAAAAGCATTTTGTACTGCATCTGGAAGCTCTTAATTAGCAAATGAACTGGAAATAAGTAAGATCTCACTGCAGGATCTGTGCTGGGGCCTTTTGCAATAAATAGTGACTCCTTGTAGGTGTTACAGAGAAAGGAGTAGAATGGGAACTGCCTTCCCATATATCTTGGTAGCCAAAGGTGTTACCACTGAAAGAGCTGTTCAAGCTTTACAGAGGATTAAGGGGAAAAAAGAATTAAATGAAAGGAAGAAGAGATCAAAGGTGGCAGATTGAAACATGAGCTCTCTGTCTCTCTGTATGTATTTACATACGGGAACACCCGTTCTAAAACCTCCATAAGGGTCAGATGCTCTTCTGTGGTCAGCTGGCTGAGGTTAATGAATATAGAGACTGAAATTGGCTGTGGGTGTAATGAAAGTGCTTGTGTATGTCTATACATATATGTGAGAGAGATTCATCACCACTCATCTCTTGCGCTCATTTGTTGATGCTGCTGAGTTAATCTTCCTGAGGGAAAGCAGCTCGAGGCCACTCTACCTGCGCCCTAAAGACAAATAAATACAGTAGTCAATGTGCAACTCAGCCTCCTACACAATCTCACAAGTCCTCCTTGCTGATAGATCAGGTTTTTTAACAGTTCTCTCTGTACAGCTTGATGAATTTTGGCTCTTCTGAAGGGAAGGAGCGAAGATGAGCAGGAACTTCTGATTACACAGCCAACCAAGCATGGCATTGCCTGTGCCAGCTTCTGCTGCTCTTTTCTGCCAGCTAATCCCAGTCTTGGCCTCCAGCAATCTCACCAGCCCATGCCAGTGCCTCTCTGAGGCCCAGAGCTTGCCAAAGACTTTGCAGAAAGCTCAGCCAATGACCTCCCTGGCCTTGGCCGTGGTGTATCCCCTGCTTATCTGGCCCAGGTATCTGTAGAGCAGAATCTCTCCATCTGCCACATCCTGAAGTAGTTTTGCAGGGTGAGCAGACATCACGCAGGGTCCCATCAAACTCATTGATGTCAATGAGGTAATGCAGGCCTTGTGTAGACCCCATCAGTGCTGGGCAACATCTCGCTGTCCTCCCACCACTGTGGTCTGGAGAGTTAGGATGGAGGAGGTCAACGTGGGGAGAGTACGGGCTGTCTGGTGTTGTGGTTTTCTGACCTCACCGCAAACCACAAAGTATAGAAAAGTTGAACCTCCTTCAGTGACTGTCGGTTATTTCTACAAGTGTTACCCCCTCACACAAAAAAAGGCTCCTAGGTAGTGCAAAGCTGGGGTAACACAGGCAAGGATGCTGCTCTGCCATACAACTGTTTTCTCTTGGCCTCTGCACAGCTGTAACTAATAAATCCAGTCTAAAACTAAACCCCAGCAGATGAAGACCAAAGAGAAGATTAATACAGCAGTCTTAGTGCACACAAATGTATGACACCCTTGCAAACAGATGAATGATCAAACAGAATTTATCATCCAGGATAACAGTAATCATCCTTCCTTTCAATCTGGATTGTTAATGACATGTTGCTTTGTCCCTGGTAGGACACAGCATTATAAGCCATCACGTCCCCACCACTGACATGACATCTCTTGCATTCAGGACTGAAGAGGGAAGCATGAGAGGGGCCCAAAGCAAATGTTTTCTTACCTCCAGATCCCTCAGGACTGGATGATCTTCAATGCCAGGGAAAAGGACCCTCATGGTGTAGGTTCGGTAATCGAGGAAAGGGATCCCCGCTCCATCCAGATCACTTGTCAGCTCGTGAATATCTGTCTGTAGCTCTGCAAAGGCTGACACAGAAAAGGAACAATACATGTAGCAATGACAGTCCAGATGTCCCTCATGATGGGAAAAGCCCTCAGACCTACATGCATGAGACCAAGGTACAAATGAAGAAGTAACATGTGGAGAGGAGGAAGGTGGACAAGAGCAGTCTCACCATTCCTATAACATAGCCCTTCCCCAGGGCTCTCTCTGGGCTGTGAGAGAGTAAATGTGGCTAGGACAGGGTGGAGGAAGGCTGAACTCAGAAAAGAGAGACAAATTAGATCCAGACTTGAGCCATACCAGTAGAGTTCATCATTCATTTTGCTTGTGATGTTTTGGCTCAAAGCTCTGTGGCTGGATGCCTCTCTTCTACCAACAATGACACAGTGTCAGCCTTTCTTCCTCATCCTACCTTCTTTGCACTCCAGTGCCACCCTGGACTCCAGGTTGTCCATCTGCATCTGCAGACGCTTGAGGGTGAGGTCACTTTCCCTGGATTTGCGCTTGTATGCGATCAACACAGCCACGATGAAGATGATGAGCAGGCCACCGGCCACCGCAATGCTGACGATAGCTGGCAAGCTGAGAGGGCTGTCTGGAGAGATGTAAACCATCCCTGGAGAGAACTCCATTCCTCCTACGCGAGCCTGGAGGGAAGGTAGGAAGGAATTGCATTGAAACTGTTGAATGAGCAGGAACACAGAGGAACTCCATCATCTCCTTGACTAAGGATGAATGATGACCACTCCTTATCTCCCAGGCTAAATGGATCATGAAGTTCTTGGATAGAGAACAGCTTAAAACCACCTGAAGTTTCATATAGAAGAACCTCTGCTGACGGAGTGACCATGAACCAAGCCAACAAATCTCACCAGTCACAATGTCAACGTATTAGTTTAGGCTTCATTCTGAGTATTACATTCCCAGTCCCCAACGTTTGTGTTGGGCTGGACTTCTCTAACGACACTTAGTCCCAAAAAGCATATAGGACACACAACTCATGGTTATGGTCTGATGAGTCCTAACTTCACAATGGGGCAGGGACATCTGACCCAGACATCTGGCACAGGAGCAGTCAGTTCAGCAAGAATGCAGAAATCAGGATCACAATTTGCTTTTGAATCTTTATCCAGAGAAAATCAAATCTGGAAGTCACTATGATAAGAAGAAAAAATCTAAACAAACCAAAAAACCCACAGAGGCTGGATCATGTTCTTTACAGCCCCTCTCCTAACCACACATTAACTGCAGATGCCCGTGAGTAGGACAGGGAGCTGGACACAACTTTTTGCTCTCCGTGAACTCCCAGTGGTTCCCAGGGCTGCTGCCAGCCTCTGGAACAAGCTGCTATGTGAGGACTTTTCTTTCAAAAGCCAGAAAGAAACCCTGCAAGTGGTACCACTGCGAGCCCAACAAAATGTTCTGCTGAAGCAAGTCTTTTAAGAGTCTGTTTTTACAACACAAATATTGCTGCCAACAGTAGTCCCACAGGATTACTACTTGCTCAAGGCTACTACAAGGTTGTTCAAGGCTATTTGTAGAGTAGGATAAGTTTGAGTGGCAGGGGGAAAAGCGCTGCTAACTTGCCCCCAGTATAAAAAGAAAACTTCTAGGACTGTGCTGTGGTAGGGCAACACTGGTTGTAGATCATCACAGAGCTAGGAAGATGCCTTGTGAAGAGCTTGAAGGATCATGACACAGTGATGAGCCCCCTCACTTGGTCCCAGCAGAGATTTGTCACAGAGGGGCACAGCAGGTCCTGCACAAAGTGCAAAATCTTGCTGCTAGGCACAAATACAGTCAAGATCCCAGTGCTACGTGCTTCCCCTGTGCAGCCGGGACCGTTGCAGCATGTAATTGAACCTTCCACTTCCTCATTTATGAGGAGCTCTCCCTCTACTTGTAGCTCCCACAGCAGCTAGTGAAAACACTCCCCTTATCCCAACCTGGTGTCTAGCCTTCTCCTTCATCCCACTAGCTCCCAGTTAGTCAGCCTCTCTCCAGCCTGCCAATGCATACATTAATCCCTGTGCCTCCACTCCGGTACCTACTCTGATTTGCTCTCAACGCTGCAGGAAGAAGAAACTGGTCCAAAAGGAAAAGTTGAAGCCAACAGAAGAGACCACGGAGCAGAGAGTAACGAATTATTTAAAGTTCTTCTAGATACTCTCACTCTTCACCACCACAACCCTTGCTGCAGACGGGAACCTCTGTGACCCCACCACCTCCTAGAAATTATTCTATCTATCGTTGGTTACAACCTCCAAGAAGATTTCTGTTTTGCTGTAGCACCGACTGTAAGCTGTTCCTCAGTGTATCCTGACCAAAACCACCTAGTGTAATCCTTATGTCTTGGCCAGGACAAAAATGAATATCTGGAAATTTCTAATTTCCATCCACAAAGCTCGCTCATTTTGGGATGAGCTTTAGAAAGACAACTGTCCACAATGAGAAACAGAAACAAAACTAAGCTCATCTAGCCAGATAATAGAGTTTCAAGATGATCATTCCTGTAGCATGACCTTAATGACTTGTAGAGCATCTTCAGTGGCCAAGGAGCAACCTTGCACCTATATAAGTTCAGGACACATGAGTAATTAGTTTTCCAATCTATTTCAAGATATGAGGCTTAGCTCACTTCTAAACCCTGTGCAGGGCAGAGGTTTAATGTTGGTATGTGACATGCTCAACTGAGAAGACAAACTACCAAACCCACGTGCTACTCTGTACACTGAAAGCTGTTGTCTTTTGCCCTGGAACACTGCCCCAAGACCTCCCAGCAAAATTTGCTTACCAGTTTGCACAATTTCCTTCCTGTCACAGTGGATCAATAAAAAGATTCCTCTATATTTCATTTTCTGTTTTTGACAGTGGCTTTTTTACTGAAGCCCTGCAGTCGGATGAGTCCGTTCAAGGAGCATCAGACTAGGATCAAACAACCGCGTCCCAATCCCCAGTGCAGGACCATCCTCAAAGCTCATAGAACAGCCTGTCTCCATGGGGGGGATTCCTCTCACCAAATATTTGACATGCACATCTGAGTTAGTTAGACATTCCAGCATTTTTTCAGAGCGAATACAGAGAAAAAGCACTTTTTGGAATGTGATATATGTGAGCTGCTTTTGACATCTGCTTTGACATTAGGATGAGACATTTTATTTGGTGGAAGTTCCCATTTCTCTCCGTTATCTATATGAGGATCTAGACTCCTGGAGGCAGGTATCTAACAAAAGTTAACCCCAGCACATTCCCCTCTAAAGCGGGTTTCAACACTGGGAAGGTCTTACACAAACTGCTGTGATCTGAGAGAATCTGTCTCTTGAAAGCCTGCAAGGCTGCGGTATTGTGAGCATTTCAGAGAAAAACAAGCAAATATGTGGATATAGCCCCATTTAATTTCTTGGGCTGTTTCTTCTTCCTAAAAGAAGCTATTTAAACCTTCTAGAAGGCTGAACATGATCCCTCTATGTCACCAAACAGCAGTTTGCCCACTTATTAAGCCCACTAATCATGAATTTGTTGTAAATGAAACTTCTCCAGCAAACTGTTAGGGGGCACCTGTAGCAGTTCAGGAGTTCCTGTTACAAAAAACTCGACCGAGGCAATGTTTTTTCTAGTGCAAATTTGCCCTGACCAAATGTAAATGTCTACCTTAGGACGAGATGGATTGTGCCCTGAACTTCAAGTGCTATATCTGACCATCTCTCCATTCCCTGTACAAAGAGTCCAGTGGCTTTCCATATGTAACTGTCTACATCAGATACCAGCAACTCTTCAGATGTACTCCACTCCTTCATTGCAGACCTTCTCCAACATAGTTACTCATGGACCTTCTTCATGCCTCTTTCTTTCCTCTGGAAAAGAGCTTCCCTCTGAGTTTTAGTCTATTTTTTTAAACTGTTGCTCAAGCCTTTCAGTTCTTTTCTATTTTTTCAAATATTTAACCCTGACACTGTATGAAAGATAACTGAACAAGATCAAAAACATGTTGACATCAATGTGTGTCATTTCTACTGTTCTTTCCTTTAGAAATAATCTCAGTGTTGCAATGGTTCTTTCACTCCCATGGTCCCCTCTCAGATCTAGGCCAGCTCACTCTGCAAGAAAGCATTTGTTCAGCAGTTTACTCAAGGTGACACAGCAAATCATTGGCAAAAACAGGAGAAGGACCTGGGAGAGCTACCTGTCAATTATTCTGGCCATCAAAGTCACATTCATGTGAAACATGGAGATGCATTTTGTACCAACTCGCAAAACAGAGATGCTGCGTCATGCTGGAGGAGCCATTTCCCAGCCCAGTTGTCCCCCTGTTAGGTTCCAAATGCAAAGTCCATCCCTGAGCACTGGCCTCCATCACAGGTGACCTTCCCAGCAGGTTACCAGCCCAGATGCTGTCAAAGTATTGCCTCGGTGTTGGCAGTTGAATGAGAAATCTGCAACTTGCCCCTAATATGCTCATTAACAGACTTCAATGCGATCATCTTCCCATGTTTCCAGCAGCATCTCTCGTTTGATCAGCATCCCCAAAAAGGGATTTTTTTTTTCTCTATGGCTTTTCTTAAGCTGTCCCAAGCTGCAGGAGCAGGAGACTCTTCCCAATTAGTAAGCTGACCAGATGTTCATCCTCCCTGATCCCTAGGGATTGATTTTTTGCTTACCTGACTTGGAGTTCTCTATCTCTAGGATTAACTTTGTCCACCTCTGACTAACCATATGTTTAATTATACTCATGAAAATGACAGTCAACATATATTGCCTTGTTCAAAAGCTTTAGTATTCACACAGAGAAAATCGGTCACTTCATTATTGCTCCTCTTGGAGTATCTTAATGCACTTTACAATGAATTGAGAGCCACGGTATACTTGCATGGCTGAAAAGGATTATTGCCTCTATTTTCCAGATGACAAACTTTGGCACAGAGAAGTTAAGTAGCCAGTATGAGGTCTCCCAGTAGCAATCACAAATGAGACCCAAAATGGTCACCGTAAACTCCCTTTTTCCTAAAAGTCTCTGGAAAACCTTCTTTGTAAAGAGCCATGCAGCATGTCTCCATCAACCTCCTTGAGTCTCGCTGCACTGAAATAAACAAACATGTGACAGATACAGCTTTGGGAGGGTAACAGAGAGGTGAAAAATAGTTGACCACAAGAAATGGGAAGCATTGATCATCTGTATGTCTGATGTCGGTTGTGAGCTTTTGGTGAGTTTCCACCCACAGCTCGGTGAGTTTGCTGATGGGATGTTAATCAAGTGACAACACTGAGGAACGCAAATTACTGCGAAGAAAGTAAAGAAGAAGTGAATAAATCAAGGGTGAGAGGAGAAGCAGCTCCCTCTGATGTAATCGTTAAGTTCATTTTTCACTGATTCCAGGAAGAATATGCAGCAGCATATTAATCTGTATAGATGGCAAAACATCAAAGTCCAGTCACACTATTGCCCGTATCTTGCTTTTCTTTTTTTTCCCTCCTACATAAAGGCAAATTTCAGCCCCAGTATGTTAGTAATTGCTGGTGCTGAATGTGACAAAGCGTGTCCTGTAGGAAACGTGTTACATATATGAACTCACATGAGTATCTAGGGTTCGTACAGACAGCGTAAAAACAGAAGAGAGGCAATCTTTTCTAAAGGGAAAGGTTTCTCACTGTCCATAAAGATCTTCAAGTTACTTTTCTACTTCTCCAAATTACTTTTGATGGGGTTATTATATCAAGAAGGGAACCTCATGTTTATGGGGTCTACAGAAGATGAACGGTGATGCCAACTCCTGGGAGGTCTCTTCCAGCTCTTCATCACTGGTGTACCCTCCCAACTCCCCCCAGGTGGAAAGGCTGAGGCTCAAGCTCCACTTACCATCACCTTGTGCCGTCCAATGAGGTTTGGGGATTCACACAGCAGCTGCACATCTGATACGGTCACTGCACAGGGCTTCTCACCAACCAAAACAGTGTAGTTCAGCTTGGCATTCCCTCCTGCCACTGGTGGTATCAAGTTCTTGCCCTAGATAGAAAGGAATATCACCACCCCCCAAAAAAACCCCATGAAATGTCAGGAAAGAGTTTGCTTTCCACCTCCAGTTCGCTACTGTGACATGAGTTTTAATATTGCACTTGACATTTATGGTTCACCGTTAGCTCACACAGAGAGGAAAAGCCAATTTAGAAAGTCGTGCAGAGGACATCATGGATGGCTACAGACTGTCATCAGTCAAAATCGTCTGGCCTTCCTCTCTCTCTGGAACTATAAATCATAAATAAGTCTCAAACTAACACACCTCACAAAACATATTCAAGCCAGTAAAACAGATCCCTTTCCAAGAAAGTATTCTTCAGGCACAATCATTTCTTTGCACATGCTGATTTGGAAATGTTTGATCATAAAATTCCTCCTCTGTATCGCTGTCCAGATTACCGAAATGACAAAGGAATGGTGCAGGGTTTAACCAGGGGTGAGAGGAAGATCTTGAAAACCCAAGAAAGAAAAAGACTTGGGTATTTAATTGCCAGTCCTGTCTTAGTAGTAGAAAATGTTTTTTCTCTAGGGAACAGCAGTAAGTATAAATTCAGGCTGCCCACAGGTAGCTGCAGCAGGGATTTATATTTTTTAGTTATGGATATTGGCAGATGCTAAATAGTGATTCATGGTTGCAGATGGTGACTCTTATATGATAAGATACGGTAGGTGCAATGAGTAAAGAAAATCTCTGGGATGCAATCAGGATGCCAGTGTGATTTGTGGGATTCTGGCAGACAGAGAGAAGCAATAGGAAGCATATGTTTGTCTTTCCTCACCCAATTCTTGGTCCTCATCTCACCTTCAGTATGATGGGACTTCCCGGCTTCAGCTCCAAGATCCCCGAGGGATTGAAAACCTCGAAGATCGGATTCGGGTAGTAGGTGAAGTTGGTTTTATTGAGAATTAGCAGGGACTGCACGTTGTCAAGAATGAAGCCAAACTCTTCCGGACGCTCGGCGAGCTCAGACTGGTGATTGGGATCAACAGCCAGTGCTGGAGCCTGGCAGGTCATCTCTGTACTGTTCTGCACCTCACAGTTCTGGAGAAAGAGACCCAACACAAGGAGAGTTTATGGAAAATGCCCCCAGCCCTCCTGGTGGGTATATACGTCCCAGTGAAATGCTAACCAATCTTCTGCTGGAGGACAGGGAGGAGCAGAGACCTCCTCGATTATCGTGAGACAGGCTGGTGCTCCACTGCTTCAAAACGTAGCCCATACCCATCAGGCAATCAAGGCTGGGAAGGGATTAGGAAAGCTTTGCTGGAGCTGCAGTTGGGCATCCTGTGCCTTTTCCCTGAGGGAGCTCCACCTCTGGGGCTGCCTAACCTCATTTCCTTCTGGAAATAGAAAATTCTTCGGGGTTTCTTTTTTATTTTTTATTTGGTAGAGCAGAGACTAGTCAAAGCCACGGTACCACCGTGCAATTAGCTCTCATACTCTGGGAATCACTCCAAAAATGTATGTCCAGTGCATACTCAGTTGTACCTAGAATCCCTCTCTGAATATCAGAGTATCTGTAATGAAGCTTAGGAAGCTGGAATGCTGAAGATAGCAAGGTAGGTCTCACGAGACCCACAAGTCAGCCTCCACCCCTGCCAAAGACCCACTTCATTTGTGCGTTTGAGAAATGGGTGATAGACGACTGTAAAAAAGAGTTTTATCCTGCCTCCCATTTTAAAAAACTAGGAATTAGATGTCTGATTGTCCTTCAGGATTGGAACTTTCGCGTTTCTACGTCATTGCTAGCACAATGCATCTTGGTCTCACCAGAGACCAAGGGGCTCTTCAGAGAAACGGTTCCAGCTCGGTGAGATCTCAGCTGTGCTTGATGTAAGAACCTTCTCCAAACTAGTCTGATGCTTCCAGCATTGAGAGCACATTCATTATCACAGCTCAGGTGTTAGTAATGCTTTGGATCAAATCAATAGAGAGATAAGTGACCTGGACCAGCCAGTTTTATATTGTAAAGTAAGCCAGATGTTACTTTGCTCTAACAGCTCTTACGAGGAAGAAAAGGCACCAGAGTACTTCCCAGCACAAAACTGATGGGCAGTTCTACATGAGCACATTTGAGATGATGAATAGGCTTCATCAGCTGCACAATGGCTTGATTGTTTGAGACCACTGTGTCAGAAAGAGCTGGAGTCTGTTGGAAGAATACAATGAAATCATGCACTCTTCTAATTGCTTTGGATTTGACTTCATGAAGGGAGTTATTAGTTCAGGGAAGAGGTGGGATAAGATCAAAATTGAGGTGTCTCAATCTGCAAACCGCGGATACAAATTAATCTATCCCATATTCCTGCATTTTGTTTTTGGATCTATTGTAGTGTCACCCTTGCTCATCTTCTTATGTGGCAATAGATTATTTTAATGTCTGGAAAGTGCTTTGAGAACCTTCAGTGGAAAGCCACTGGATTAACCTTGCAATGCAAGAAGTACAGAGGAGCTGGACTTTCTGCCCCTACCCCAGCTAGTACCTCTGTACCTTTTACTTTTCTTTTGGGATGCTCTTTCACACTTTTTCTCAGGAAGAGCCCATATGTAGCCAACACTTTTTCAGACGCTGCTGGATGACCCCATCCTCCAACCTACTGTAGGTACCATCAGGTGTCTTCCGCTCCTTAGTCTCCTGATTGGAAGTGCTAAACTCACACCTTTTACCTCTTTGCCAGGAGCTGCTTAGCAGCTCTTGGGAATTGGCTCCTTACTAGGGAACTGTTCTCCTGTGCCTTGCTAGAGTCTTGCTGACCTCCACAAAGCTGCTTCTGACTACTCAGTGGTCACAGAGATTTGAATTAGGCTGCAAATCTAGCTGGTTAAACCTGGATACAGTCTTGCATGATCCCAAATAGTCCGGAGAGTAGACACAGTAGTACCAAAAAGTGTCATCCAAGCTCAGCTGATAACCTGAATTTGTATCTACTTATGCACAGGTTATAAATGGGCCAAGAAAGAGGATTGAGCCAACAGAAGAAGCAGGTTCAGGAGCTGGATGATGCTTCATGATGACCCTTCTCTCTGTTCCCTTTTTGGCCCAGTGCTCCTTCATGGAGAGAGGATGGCGTAATCTTTCTGGAAGGAAGTCATAGCCTCTTTTCTGGACACAGTAGGACATTTCAACCTCCAGAACTGTTAACCAGCCCCTGTGACCACCTTGGACATGCCCATGTGATTGATGCCCAGTTCAGCAGCCATACTCACGTTGATGTGTTCCTTTCCACCATGCTTTGCTCGGATCTGAGGATTTTGGATCAGGTCTAGGTGAGTTCCCCACACTGCAATTGGTGTGTTACCACTAGAGAAGAAATGAAAGAAGTACATGAATCCAGCTAATAGATATTAGGACTGATTGCACCAACAGTGCTTGGTGCAGTCTAGGTGATCTGTATTCCTAAATGTTGATAATAAAGTATCTGACCACATATCAGAGTCCTCTAGGAAGCGAAGGAAAAATGAAACAAAGCAAGTGATTTTTCACTCATTCAGAAGTAAAACCACACACTTCCTAAAACACACATCTAGTAGCATCTGGGTGTTTTTCACTGTTAGGACTCAGCAAACACAAGCTTCAGGAATAAGAAGAAGAGAAGGAAACCTAAAAGGAGCACTTCAGAATGGTCCACAGACTATATCTCCTATATCACTTAAGGAAGCGAGCCTCAGATACTGCTCATAGATACTATCTTGTGCAAGCAACTCTTCAGCATTCAGTGCTATCTTGGTTGGTGGCTGTAGTCTCAACTTGCATATTAAACCCGCTGTGCAAAGATCACCCTAAATAAGATAATATCACCTCAGTGAACCCACTTCAGCGCTGCTGGGGAACCGGGTCCTACAGCATGCTGAAGGAGCAGAGTCAAAGTCTTCAGACATGATGTGCATAAGGCATTTGCTCAGTTTCTATTTGGTGACTCAGGCAGATAAGTCCCTTTCCTCAAGCAAAGACTCATTTCCCAAGAGACACCATTCATATGAGCCACGACCCTGCCTTTGGTAGATTTTCTTGCTTTTATAACCTCTCTTAGTTCAGCTTAAGATGGGGAGATGTAGATGGAGCATTTCCCATTCCCTACAATAAGAGTCACCAGAAGGAAACAACTTTCAGAAACACGCTTCTATTCTTTCCCTTGCCTCTTGCAGCTGCAGCCGGCAGTGCTCTTGGTGGGACTTCAGGGAGTAGAGGGGAGGGAGGAAGGAAGCTGCAAAGGAGGCTTCGGTAGGAGCTGCTGCATGAGTTGACTTGGAACATTGTGTTGAGGAGAAGAGTTCACAGTAGGCAGCTTTGGCCATTCCAACTTTAAACAGTATGGCTCTACCAGGGTGAGCTCCCCCTTTGCAGAATCGTGGCAGAAACAACAGGATGCAAGGGCTGAAGAGAGAAGAGTTACACAAGAAAGAAAAAAACCTCATTTGTCAGGGCTCACACAGCCAGGGCAGGATGAGGAAATGTCATCCACAGACAGCCTCATCTCTGAGGGTTTCCCACCCTGAGGAAGGCTCTCATAGGTTTTGGCACCTGCCTCTGGAACCCCCCTTGGAAACTGTCCAGGCTGCAATCTATTTCCTGGAGCACTTTGCTGAGAATGGAAGGCCACATGTAAATCGGTGGGATTGGGAAAGGAAAGCTCAGAATCCTTTTCCTGCCTCCAGGTAAACCTATGCATACATGAATAGTGAAACAAGTGCATTATAGAATCATAGAATCATAGAACAATTCAGGTTGCAAAAGACCCTTGGGATCATCGAGTCCAACCATTAACCCTACACTACAAGGTCACCCCTAAACCATATCACCCAACACCACATCTAAACGACAATT